CCGCCGCGGGGGACGCGCGGCCCCCGCCTCAGCCCGCGAACCTCGGGACAAAACCCCAATTCAGAAATAGGTTGCGAGCGGCAGGCCGGGAGGTTTGGCGCCCCCCACCAGAGCCCCCCGTCGCCCCGGGGACGGCCGGCCGTGGGCGCGATGAGCCAGGTGCTGGGGAAGCCTCAGCCTGAGGAGGAGGACGACGACGAGGAGGATGAGCTGGTGGGGCTAGCGGGCTACGGGGACGGGCCCGACTCCTCGGACGCCGAGCCGGACAGCGGGACGGAGGAGGGAGGTGAGCACCGGCTCTCCCGCTCGGCCCCCCGCCCCAAGCGTCCTCTGCCCGCACCCCTGCCGGGCCCGGCGCGCGGGCAGCTGACTTGGAGGGGATCCAGGCAAGCGGAGTTGGGGGGTGGGAGTGGGGAGGGGCGCCAGAGGAGCCGCGGCGAGATGCAAAATGGGGGAGCCCGGGTGCAGGCAGCGGAGCGGGGGCCGGGATCGGTGGAGAGGGCGGAGAGGAAGCGTCTGGGCAGGAGGAACGCGCACTCTCTGCCAGTTCCAGGGCCAGTACCTCCCCCACGCCTCACCCCGAGCTCTCCGCAGGGTCCGGGGTTTTGGGAGGGGAGGGGACCGCCCGGCGCGCCCTGGGATCTCTCCCTGCATGCTGCTGTCGGAGCCGGGGTCAGATGTCGTGGCTAAAAAAGGCAGCCGGCGGCAGCGTGACTGGCAGGGTCGTCGGCAGCTGCGGCTGTCAGTCTTGCCCCGTGTCGCCGCGGGAGGGGTCCCGGGGCCGCCCAGGTCGGCGGCGTGGAGGCACCGGTGGAGCGGCGGAGGGATGCACCCAGGTGATAAAGGAGTCACCGTGTGGCCGCGGGTATCCAGAGATCCAGGCAAATAAGGTTGTTAGGACACCTTATCTCTGCTCAGCGTCACCACCTGGGCATGGCAGCGCCTGCCCTGGAGTGAGCGCGGGGCGGGGGAATACGGAGCCACTCAGAAGCAAACCCTGTTTCCTGTTCAAGAAGCAGGATTTAGCAATTGTTCAGCCAGCGGGGGCTTCCTGCGTTTAATTCTTAAGGACTAAGGGAGTTGAGAGCTTTTTAGGATTCCAGAAAGGTTCATCTTTTTTGTTTCCCTCCAATCGAGGAAAAAGTCCTTTATTGTAAGGTCTTTTGGAAAGGTCAGTAGAATGAGCCTGGTAAACTTAACATCTAGGTGGAACTGTCAGCATCCTAAAGAAGGAACTAACTTTTAAAATGTTCACTTGGCAGAAATTGCATGAGGGATAAAAAGTACTTTCGTGACTGTTGATTTTGAAGAACTTTTACTGAAAATTCACTGGACTTGTTTTAAATTCTCCATACAAACAAAGCCTTTCTCTGGGGGGGGAGCAGTTTTCATTATTTTACGTATGGTGAGTGCTACTTTCAATTAATCAGAAGGGGAAGATTGTTAACTAAACCTTGAGCCTGATAGATGAGAAAGGAGCTTTCCAAGTCGCCCTTTTTCGTAGTGTCTGGTCCCTAGGGAGCATTTGTACTAATTCCCTATTTGCTTAAACTCGTGTGTGCACCTGTGCGCCTCTCTTCTGCACTCCCCATAACTGGTCCCACAGTCGAGCAGGTGGCCACATTTTTGTAGATAAAGGCTTTCAACCCTTTTGTTGGAGTCTCTAGGGCTACCTTTGGTGGTTAAATTGTTCAGTCGCTTCATTATTATTCAGATTGCGTTTGTTAGCCCCTCCTAGATTCTTCGGAGGCTCGGGAGAGATTCAGAATGGGGATGTATTTGCAAGGTATTTGAAACCGAAGACACACAACAGGGTGCAATTGTGATCCTCTTTGAAAAAAAGGAAAAGAAATAAGAGACCGTATATGGGAAGAAAAACCCTGTAATTTGATATTGTCCTGGGGGCCAGGGACTGGGTTCCAGGAAAAGCACGGGACCTGTTTGTTTATTCTGCAGTTCTTTAACGGGGCACTTTAAAATTTGGATTTGGGGCCTTGAAGTGAAATTAACGCTTTGGCTGAGGGGCCGGGATTTCCTGAACAAAGGGCTTCCCCAGATCTGAGTGTAGGATGCTCCCCAGTGCTCCTAGCCCAAGGCAAACCCGCCTGTAACTGACGCTTATGATTACTTTAGTAATAAAATCCTCCCTCGTGAGTTTTTGGTATCAAACTGAAATCTTGCTATAAAAGCCCTGAGTATATTTGTGTGGTTAGAAGAGCAAACATTACTGAAGCCTGGCCTTTCTTCACCTGGGCCTGCTGTGGATATGGTCTATTCTCTGAAGATTTCCTCCATTATCTTGGGCTGCTGTTCTTTCCATGTGTTGCTGGCTTTGATTTTGGGGTTTAGGCCTGAATGTAGAATCTCTATCAGGACATTCGCTTTCTTGAGTAGCAGATAGGCCCCTCAGATAGCAGTTCTAGCAAGGACTGTCCCTGACACCTGTCATGCCAGCTGATATGGTCCTGGGGAGTCAGGATGGGGGTGGAGGCTGGGAGTTGTGACTTTTGTTCCTGTGGCTTTCTGTTCTTGAGACATCAAGGTGCCACCAAATGGTCATCCCGATTTCTAATGGGCCCTGGGCACGTGTTGCCTTATAATCCTGTGTTATTTGGGGTAAATTTTACATTTACCTACCCTCAAACTCAAGACGTGGAAAGTAGCGGGTGGGGAGGACTTATTTCCTCTGAGAAGAGATGTATATGGCGCACTTTGAACCATGAGCAAAACATTTCTCTAATGAATTCCAAACCATCCTAATGGACTTGGTTTAGTGCGTGAGCTTCTCGGAGACCTGGGGCTTTTTTCCATGAGGTTCAGAAATCTACCCTGGTGGGTGGGATGCAGGCCTGACCAGTATTGCTGTGCAAAAGAATGTGATTGAAGGTGGGTAGTGTGATTTTTACTTCCCATAGTCTTACAAGGAACCTCTGATCTTATTTTTAAACCGAGTGCCTTGTACCTTTTACCACATTGTGTTAAGGTTGAAAATGTAGTGCAGCTAAGGTGAGCCTTAAACTGCACTTCTTTGGCTTACGTTCCAAATTTTATTCATGAATAGCAGGCGTGTTCTTGAGCACTTTAGTTCTGTTAAGGACAGATTTGGGCACTTCTCAACCCCTCCTTTCAGGGTCGTTAATCAGAGATAAGATGAATCTCATCTTCAACCCCCATGCTCCAGATAAAACTCCAGAGAGAGGAGACAATAATTAAACTATTAAAAACAATTGCACCAAAAATATTGATTATTTTTAGACACATGGACTTTTAAGTCTTTATTAAATTACAGTTGTTTAAAAACTATAATAACAAGGAAACCAATTAAAAGATCATATTTAGTCAGAAAGTGAAATTATTTTTTCCTGAAGTCCCTCCCAATTTTTTAAGTTTTTTTAAAAATTAATTAATTTATTTTTGGCTGCATTGGGTCTTTGTTGCTGCACGCGGACTTTCTCTAGTTGCCGCAAACGGAGGCTACTCTTCCTTGTGGTGCATGGGCTTCTCATTGTGGTGGCTTCTCCTGTTGCAGAGCACGGTCTCTAGGCGCGCAGGCTTCAGTAGTTGTGGCACGTGGGCTCTAGAGAGCAGGCTCAGTAGTTGTGGCGCACGGGCTTAGTTGCTCTGCGGCATGTGGGATCTTCCTGGACCAGGGCTCGAACCCGTGTCCCCTGCATTGGCAGGCGGATGCTTAACCACTGTGCCACTAGGGAAGCCCCCCCCCCGCCCCGCCTGCCAATTTTTAAGGGAAATTTGGCTAAGACAGCTGCTCTGCCACAGTTCAGCTAAGTGCCGTCTTGTTTTCATAGCAGCCTGTGCACTCTCTCAGGGTCTGAGGAAGTGACAGTTAGGTGGTCCCTGGAGGCACAGAAAATCCAGGGTCAGTCAGGAGGTGATCCTTCCCTGGTGGCTGTAAAGGCAGTGAATCTGGCAATTCACTTCTAATCATTAGTGTCAGCTTTTTTTTCTTAAAATAAATTTTAAAATTATTAGTGAAGTTACCTTCTCATTGTTTCTTGAGGGTAAGTAGAGAGAATTGTTCTTCTGATATCGAATCTGTGGCTCAGAGATGCCAGGGGACTTTTCTGCAGCCACAACATGGGCTAGAACTGAGCAAGGTTTAGGAGAGGGTCAAGTGCATGGAAATGTAAGCCCCTTCCTTTGTAACTCTGCCTTGTCCAAAAAGAGTTGGGTTGACTGCAACCCTGGCTATAGCCAATCTCTTGGGTTTCCTTCTGGTCCTGAAAATACAGAGATATATAAGTGCTGGAATAGGTGGAAACACAGAATAGTTAAAAATGATGTGACCAAGGTCACGCCTGAGGCCCAAAGCTTATTCACATACATATGGTTAGAGAGCATATTTTTATATCAGATGTTTGTAAACGTTTCAGTGATTCCTGGTATCATAGAATCTTGATTCTCTACTTTTATAAGAAATATCTCCCATTTTAATATTAGAACAGACCTGGAGTAGTCTAATGGAAAAAAGAGGCAGAATCAACAAGTTCTGGAGTTCTGGATAAGGTGCTGTGCCTGAGAGTTCATCTGCTTTGTTCAGTCCCCGCAACTCGCATCACTGTTGGTGATATGATTTTACTTCCTATCACAGTCACTTCTGCTCATTTTTCTTACTTCTCTACTTCCTTTATTCTTGTATTCCTTACCTTTTTTTAAAGGCAACTTTTCAATTCTCTTTTAAAGAGGGCTTTAAAGCTGTCCTGCGACCAGTGGCTTTCCCTGGTTCTGCTGTAACATGCAAGACAGATGGGTTTTTCACTCCTGGCCTAACGTGCCCGGAGAGCTGGTGAACTTTCTCCTCTTGAGGATCTCTGGGGAAGACTCCAGCTCTGTTTCTCAGTGTGTAAAATCGAGGACGACATAAAACCAACCTTGATCACACCCAGAGTGATCGTTTGGAAAAAAAAAAAAAAAAAAAGCTCACAAGAACACTTTTCCCTTCTTGCAGAGACAAATCAGAACACATTAGAAACGTGTTTTTTTTTTTGGCTGTGCCATACGTCTTATGGGATCTTAGTTCCCAGACCAGGGATTGAACCTGGGCCACAGCAGTGACAGTGCTGAGTCCTAACCACTGGACTGCCGGGGAATTCCCAGAAATGTTATTGGATGCTTATGTAAAGGAAATATTCACATATAGAATCATGTTTTTTAGTTACCTGCCAATGTGATGTGAGAGGATTTCATAGAAAAAGATTAGGTCTTCACATATAAATAAAAATCACCTTCAAAAACCTTTGTGCCGGGCTTCCCTGGTGGCGCAGTGGT